ATTTACGTATAATTAAAATAATTATAATCATAATAATAATAATCATAAATATAATCATAAAATTATATGTTATTAAAAAATATATTAATAAAAGTACCCATGACAAAATTAATAATTACAATTGATATTTTTTTTTGATATTTCATCACATGACAATACAGGGAGTATCATGATATTCATGATATTGATCAATCATGACATCTATTATATACATACAATTGATCAACAGAAAAAATTTTCCATTTCAAAAAAACCAAACTCCCCCTTTTTTCAATAAAAAAATTTTTTCTTCAAATCTTTAAAGAATAATATCAAACGTGTCCCAATTTTACATAAACGTTCAAAATAACAATAAACAATTCAAAAAATTCAAGTCCAACATATTATTCAAATAAAAAAAAAACACCATGAAATATAATAAAACAAACTCAGTTTCAACAAAAGAAGAGGTGGAAGAGGTAAAAGAGGTGGTAGAGGTAGTAGAGGCGGAAGAGGTGGCAGAGGTAGTAGAGGTAGCAGAGGTAGTAGAGGTGGTAGAGGTGGTAAAGTCAGTAGTGGGAACAGGACAGAGGTTGTCGTAGATACAAGAATAATTGAAGGTGAAGAATTGGAAAGAGCTTGCAAAGAATTAGAAGAGGAGATGGAGAAGGAGTTAAATGAAGAAACTGCAAATAGTAAATGTAGTGAAGGAGATGATAATTATGAATCTGAAGAAGATATTCCGATTAGGAAACTAAGGAAACGAAGAAGATTAAACGGAACCTCGTCATACGATTCCAAAGAAGATATTCCACTTCGACTTCTAAAGGAACGTGGAAAATCAAAAACACCACCTCATATACTGCTACAACATCTGCTGATGATGTTACAGTAACAAATATAAAATTGAAACGTTAACTGAATACCAGCAATTATCCGAACTCTTTGAACAGCAGATGAAGACATATAACAAAATCAAAAGATCTTTGAACTTGCATCTCACGAAAGCTGATGAGATCAGAATTGAAATAAATGATTCTGATTATACAAAAGAAATTTGAAAGAATTAAGAAATTATTCGAAATGTCAAGAAGAGATTAAAATATTTTATGAATTACAAAATGATCTTAAGATGATAGTAGAAGCGTGTAACAAGGTGGTAACAGATGGGATCTATGAATGATGGTGATGTTTACTTTAGATTTGTAGGGATTGATTTCTGGCGGTTTCTTGTATGTTCGAGTTATTTAAATTATTTCAATAATTTCTTTCAGTTATTTCAATAATTCTTTCAATTATTTCTCTCAAATTTTTTTTTTTTCAATTATTTAGTTTAGTTAAATAATAAATTTTCAATCTATTACATAATATAAATAAAGGCTTATTTTATCTTAAAAATTCTAAGTTTCTTTAGAAATCTAAAATTCTTACAAAATAATAATAAACTAAGTGAAGACTTCAAATTAGATACGTAAGAAATTTATGCAAATTTTTCTTAACACATTTTATTTCTCTTAAACAAAATTTTTCATCACTAATAATGATAATAAATTATATATCAGTCAGTAAATATGATTTCTCAAAATGATTATTATAAATTTATAAGAATTTTCATATTAATAAAAATGGTACACAATATCTATGTTAATGTAATGATTCTCTTTTTAAACACAATTATACGAATTAATTTTCTGTTGATTGTCCGATATGTATATTATCAGTCTGTCCACTCGCGTGACAACTCATATTCAATGATAACGTGACTAACCACTGAAAAATATAGATCTACGGTTATTTTTTTTTGATACACTTATTTTAAAGTAATATGACACAACAAATAACCATTGTTCACACGATATATAGAATATGAACATCACGTGCCAATCAAATATATTAGTTACTCACGTTACTTAAAGTATCAAAAAAATAATCATAGGTATATTAAAAAAATAACCATAGATCTATCAAAAATGATACTTTTGCCTGAAAATAATATTAATTTGCTCCCGGATTTACGAAAGTTCCTTAAAATCATCATACCATTTTGTGGCTACTAAAGTTTTCGTTAATAATATCTAATGAGTTAAATAAATAAATAAATTTATAAAATGAATACTTGTAATTTAATAAATTTAAATTTTCTTGAATAATTATTAATAGCAGTTCCGGACTTTCATCTAGATATTAAGAAATAACCCTTATGAATTTCAACTGATTATTCTTATTATAAGAATTCAAATTCTTCTCTAAATGAAAGTTCAATACAAAAGTCATGTTTTAAGATTATCTAAACTAAAAACATTAATGAAGTATCTCTGAGATCATATCATTGATTACCTCTTTCATTTAATTTTTTCTCGATAATTCTTTGCTATTTTCTACTTTCTTGATAATTCATCATGCTGTAGAATAAAATATTGATATTCAAACCAAATACAACAAAACATAAAAAGAATTGTTATTAAAATTAAATAATTTGTTTTTTTTAAAAATTAATTTATTTACAAAGACAATAAGAAATAAATCGAAATATATAAGAAATAAAAATTTTAAAGAAAATATAAAATTTTTTAAAGAAAATATTAATTGAGCATTCATAATAAGAAATGAATGATAATAACTATAAGATCTAATTTAATCGCTCTCAACTGTTTATTATGATTTGATCTCTTATTATAGCTAATATCTTAATACTTATATAACGTAATTATGATATCATAATAACCAACAACAAAAAAATCTTAAAACTGAGATCAGCCGCTAGAACAATTTCCATTATTTTGTATAGCGAGAAACAATGATATTATGTTCAAATCCAACTGGGGGTTCAATGACTTTTGCACCAATTATTTCTTCGTAATTGAAACCATTTTTCGGTAGAATTAGTTGAAAGGCAGCCATCTTTCCAATTCTTTCGGTAAACAAGTATTCAAGTCTGCCAGAAAGATGATAATTTTTTGTGCAATTAAGCCAAAATGAATAATCTTCTCCAGTAATATGCATCTTGAAATTTAAAGACTTCAAAAATGAAATCTCCAAAGTATCAATATCAGCTCGAGAGATATAGGAGATTTCTGACCAGATCTTGCTTGCATATCTCTTATCGTTGATCCAATTGTTCGCTAACATGAGAGCAATGGTGAAAAGCTGATATTCATTGGTAAAGCTGATGTTATTTCCTTTTTTGATGTACATTTGTACATACTTTAAAGACAAGAAGACGGTTGTTTGGATATTGGAGCTTTTGATATTATCTAAAATCATAAAGAAAGTATTAGTTTACATTTATTTACTACTTTACAATAAACATATATTAAAGTATAAATAAAGAATATTGCTAAATATCATCGCAGGTAATCGTCACCACTCAGCAAAATTTCATAATTCCTTGATCAGCCTAATCCTAACTTTGCTCATAAATAAATACCTCAGTACAAAATTTCTTAAAATGCATGTCTGCAGATCTATGTCTGCCGTATTTTTTTAAACACCACATCTTAGAGACAATATTGGCAGAAAGTTCGCCTAAAACTTGTGTTGTTGATTATTATTCGAAATAAGAATTTGCAACATGACTATATTTGGGTTGTCAAAAGTGTCAGGAGAGAAAAGATATAGCACGATTTAAATGATTGCAAGGGAGAAAGTGAGAAAAGTTTTTGAAAAAAAAACAAAAAGTTTTGGAAAAATTAATGGCATTAGGCAAATAAATAAATAGTATCAAGTACCGGTAATACAAAATTTTTTGTTAATTTACTTGTAACACGAAATTTTATGATTTATGTTTATAAATATGGTATACGATCCTGTATTTGTACTACTATAAATAAATATTATTATTTACATTAGTTCCCATGATAAAATTCATGATCATGGTAATTATTATAATTATTATAATTTGTTTATCCTGCACTGCCGATCAAAAAAAATAAATACTTAGACAAGTATAAATACCAGCTTATTTATTTACTTGATCTTGAAATTTTATCTCTTAACTCTCTGCGATACAACTTTTACTCTTATAATCACTTTTTATAAAACTTTGTTTTGAGGTACTTTTAACATACATAAATTTTTTATTACCTATCTTTGGTTTCAAATTTGACCGTGTAAAGCTAATACCATCTTTTTTTCCATCGTTTTTTCTACCTTTTTACTTATACCAAAAAGAATGTTTTTGACCATCACCACCTTAACTGCTCTTACTCCTGTCTTCATAGCTCCTGTTCTCATAG